TCTCCCCTAAAATATGAAGGTAGCAATGGGAATTAATGAAATCTCAAAGATGAAATTCTGTGAGTACAAGAATCAAGGCCTCGACGTCTGGCTACTTTTCCTATGTAGAGCATACCTTCAGTGCCACTGCTGAAAATCTGGACTTGATAGTATTAAGCAAGCTGGCTGGTTTCTTTCTATCCAACAGGTTTTTAGTAAGCATTTTTATTTTTAAGATTTATTTATTTGAGAGAGAGAGAGAGAGAGAGAGAGAGAGAGAGAGAGAGAGAGCACATGCACATGAGTGGGGGGAGGGGCAGAGAGAGAACTCAAGCAGACTCCTGCTGAGTGCAGAGCCCAGTGGGGGCTCTATGTGTGACTCAATCTAACCACCCTTAGATCACAACCTGAGACAAAATCAAGAGCCAGAAACTCAACCGACTGAGTCACCTAGACGCCCCTTTAGGAAGCAATTTTTGAAAAATCTTTTGTAGGGAGCCTGGTGGCTCAATCAGGCTGTCAGATTCCTGATTTTGGCTCAGGTGATGATCTCAGAGCCAAGAGACAGATAGAGCTCGAGAGACAGAGAACAATGTTGGGCTCCAAGCTGGGTGCACGGAGTCTGCTTAAGATTCTCTCTCCTTCTCCCTCCCTCCGTGTATGCACATTCTCTCATAAATCCATCCATCCATCCATCCATCCATCCATCAATCTCTTGCAGAAGGGAATACTCTGGCAACAGAATAGTACTTCTTATGAAGGAATAACAGTATTATTCACTTGTCTCTACTATCAATGCTAAAACTACTCTATTCTCCCAACTTCCCAAAGGCAAGTTTCCATCTTCATTTTTATTTTGGTTTAAATATCTTTACAGCTCAAGGCTATAACCCTTACCTTTACCTGCAAAATATATGTAGTGGCACACAAAATACTGCACTTGCACAGTACTTAATAAGCCAAGTCCTTCCATTTACTCCATCTCAGATAAGGCTTAAAACTACCTTTTGAAGTAGATCCAACAGGTTACTATGATATACATTTTGCCTGGAAGGAAACTATAATTTGCCTCAAGTAACACAATTGGTACACAATAAACCTGGTCCCCCACTCCTGGCCCTGGATTCCTTCTGCCATATGATACTTCCCAATACTCATGGCAATCTCCCACCTTTTCTATATTCTGGATCCACAAGTGAACTTTGTAAATCTAAAACCAAGAGCCTAAGAAAGAAATGGGCTTCAAACTACACCAACTACACTGAATTCTATTACAACTACCTGGGGCCATACTAAGAGCCTGCCACTCCAATCCTGAAGCTACAAACACTATAGACAAAAACTGAAGACTCAAAGTAAGAAATATATGGATGGTTCTTAAATCTATAGAAGATAAGCAGACATGAGAATTAGGCTATCCATTTCCAAAAAACAAAAAAAAAGGCTAACATCATATCACCTGTTCTTCTACAATGGTCATATCTATTGTGTGTATACTGGGTATCTAATACTCCCTTGTACTTAAAAAATTTAGGAGCTATTTTGTCTACCTAGTGGACAAACAATCCAGGGTGTACCCAGAAAAGATCTGGAATTGGATCTGCCCACCTTGTTCACTGACCTTTTAGTTGGGTATGTAACCCTGGTATCCAGGACCCAGCAGGCCCCCTTCCCCAATTTCTGGGCAATATCCAAGCTCATTAAAGCAGACAGGATTCAAATTTCCAGGCCTTATAAGTGGCTGAAATAAGGACATTCTTTTTGTGTCAGCTCAAGCTTGGTTAATCTCCATATCCAATCTAACTCTGGGGTGGATGAGAGGAACACATTTGTTGCTTTGGGACTATTGCCCTACTTCTTTAAGTGCTGGCTGACCTTCCCTACGTAAGTGCACCAGCATTTGCAACATTCAGTTTAAGCAGGAAGGCTCTTTCATCTTTGTCCCCTGGCCTTGATCTCTCATCATTATGATCCGGATCCCTGCTAATCACTAATGATCCCGTGGCCCTTTATATAATACTGAGGTATTAGATCTGAACTCGTAGAAAAATTCCTACTCAGCTAATTACATTCTTTCTGCTTTTCTTGGTTCTCCATATAGTCTCAGCTGGGGTTGAATCTGAACTATTCCCTCAGATTTTAAATTATTTGCTGGTGGTTTGTGGAAAGCACTTATAACTCTTCCCTCAAATGAATTCAATGAATTATAATTCAAAAGTCCCATGACCTACCTCTGACCCTCTCCCTCTTTTTCTTTTCCTTGTCTTTCTATTCCCTTTCCCAAATTCTTGTCTTGAATATCACAAGAGTTTAAATTCACTGGGTAAGGAGTTTCATGGTTCTATATTTTGATAGTATATTGTTAACTTAACAGTAGTACACAGTGGCTCTACAACACATCTACTTTGGGGTCTATACTCAGAACCAACTACTAAAAATGATGTCTTTCGATCCACAGGTGACATTTAACCTACACTCTAAGGATCACTGAATTTTTTGTTAATGGTAAATGCCTTGCTCACAAAATAGAATACCTAGGTGAAGTGAAGTTTGGTTTCTTAACTGAGTATGATTCTCTTATATTTCCAGGAATATGGAGCATCAATTCTATAGAACTATATAGGGCAATTCTGATTTTAGCCTATGACATCTTGAATTTTTTCTACCCATTTCCATATTCTAGAACTTAACAGCTTTTGTAATCATAGCAGCAAAACTGAACTCTCATAAAATCCAGATCAACCAAATTCTTAACACAACTTTCTGAATATGACTGTATACAATGTACTATACATGTATATCACTGTTAAATTAATAATTTATTGACAATCAAAGAGAATGTATAGCTCCAAATGAGCACTTTTCTTAAAGCTGTCCCTTGGCAGCTACTTGTATTCCAATGGTGCTGCCATTATTCAAACAATGTTTGTATAATGACTTTAGAACTATAAGCCATCTAATTGTCTTTCTGATGGTTTTGACCCCAAATTATATTACCCTGATTTAATCACACATACCCCCCCTTACTTTTCAGGGCACTGAAGGTCTTTAAAGGGAGATGACTTACTGCCTCCCAGGCTTTTTAACAAGATGTGCCTTGTTTTGAAAACCAGTGCCTAATGAAGAACTCTTTTTAAAAGAGGTTTGATCAATGCATGTATCATTGGAATAAGAGACCGACTTCCAAGATGACTAGCCAGATAAAAACACACTAATATATGTGTAAGTCCTGGTATGATTGATTTTATTACTTTATGTTCATATCTTTGTTACATAGTTTCAGCCCTACAGCATACCTTTTAGAGTTAAAGATAAAATTATTCTTAACATCTTCTATTATGGTGGGACGCCTGGGTGGCTCAGCGGTTTAGCACCGGCCTTCAGCCCAGGGCGTGATCCTGGAGACCCAGGATGGAGTCCCACATCAGGCTCCCTGCATGGAGCCTGCTTCTCCCTCTGCCTGTGTCTCTGCCTCTCTCTCTCTATCTCATGAATAAATAAATAAAATCTTAACATATACATATATATTATTGTACTTCACAAAATCTTACATGCTTTAGGTACATCTTACATATCTCACACAAAAATGTCTTGATACTCAAGGATCTAGGTATTGTTCTGACTATTTCAAGTGTTATCCACAAAAACATTAAAACTACAAAAAATTGGGATAAACATACTGGGTATATTTTTCTATTAAACCCATGAAAATGATTTTTAACCAGGTATACCTGTGACTACTTGAGATATGTTTGTTTGCCTGACTTAACTGTAGGCAATTCTTACTTCAGGTTGCAGGGGAAAGGATTATGTGGTTTGGTTTTTACTAAAAATATAAAGCCTTCACTCACATAAAACCAGCTAGTCCAGCACACCACATATGGAGCAAGACCTTTTAAGGAAAACCTTAAGTTCTAAAATAATTAAAAGAATATAATGAACCCATTCAATCATGCAAGTCCTTTAAACTTTGTCTTTAAAGTCTTAGGAGAAAAAAAAACACCACATGGACCATGTGGGTATAGGGCATAGCTGGAGAAAACTCTAACTTCTAATTTTTCTTTCCTTGATTTACTACTTGAGGGTAATCAATCCAATTTTTCATTCGTATAAATGAAAAGCCACAGGTTTTAACTCTTTAATTCAAGGAAATTCAAGGAATATTATTATTGGAATATTATCTTGGAGCCAAGGGAAGATACACATATTCTAGTTACACTTCAACAATTATTTATCAGTTGCCTATGGAGATCCTGTTCAATGGCAAAGTGAAATGGAGGACCTATAACAAATAATGAATAAATAACTGATGAATTAATGAATGCAGGAAAAGAAAATCATATCTCAGGTCAACACATGAGGAGTCCACTGTAAAACTGCCTCCCACAGGACTTGGTCCATGTAAATATAATTTGTATTATGTAATATCAAGCCTAAAGCATTTGCTTAGATTTGGATCACTTTCAGATTTCCAAATTTATTCATTAGGGTCCTAGCAATACTTTGAACCTAATCACTTGGTTTAAGTGACTCCTGATATAATCAGTCTTTAAGACCCAAGAGTAATACCCAAGTAGTCATTAAGATTGGAGTTTTACAGAATATTTACCTGACATCTGTACCTGAGATAAACTGATCATTTCACACACCCAGCACTTGTGCTAAGAGCATATGGTCTGTTATTTAAGCTAGCGGATGATTTTCTTTTACAACAGAGGCATAAACACAACTAGTTTCTTCACTTTTCCAATCATTCCAGTTTTAGAAGACTGGCCTCATAAATAGAGATTTCTCACTGACTTACTATGGACTATTTGATAGGTCACATTTTTGTTCCTCGGTTTATACGACAGAATAGGAGTAAGACAAAAAAAAAAAAATCCTCCTCCTTCCTAGGGGACTTCTGTGACTATATTGATAAGTACCTACAAAATGATAAATGCTACTACCTCTTCCAGCATTTTGAAAGATGTCAACCAAACACAAAATATTTTTGGTGTGTGAATTAAAATGACTCTTACTGATGGTCTCAGCTGCTTCCTTGTAAGATAGCGTGTCAAGATCTGGCTTATACATTATCCGTCCTGCAGAACGCACTGACATCACACTTCATAATAGCTTGGTAGGGTGATTGCTGTCAAAATCGCCTGCGTGGAAACGTCCGTGCCCTAGAGTGACACAACGTATTAGCGTGACAGAGGACTAAACAACTAAGCACACCACGCGACGCCCCGACCTCGAGCCCTTGGGACAGGGGGGTGTGCTGCGTGTGCGCTGAAGGGCCTCAAGTTGGGCGGAGAATGAAGGCAGCCTGGGGGGCTTGTGGGCGAGGCGGGGAGTCCAGAAAGGCGAGCGCCTGCGATCCCAGTAGGAAAAACTTTTTTTTTTTTTCTCTTTCCAATTATGAATCCCATCCAGGGCGGGGCCTCTGGGTCTCGCTTCTCCGTGACCACCACGCAACCGCACACTCTTTGCTGGGAAATGAAAGCGAGACGAGGGTCTGGGGGCGCGACTGGCTCCAGATGCGGCTGCGGGGCGCTCAGAGGCCGGGCCCCGAGGCTTTCGGGCCTCCGCGGCGGCCGCGTCCCCCAGGGCGCCCCCCTCCTCCCTCGCGACCTGGAGCACCGGCGCCCCCCGCGCGGCCTCGCGTCGCCCGCAGGCCCGACTCACCCTGTCCTCGCGCTCCCCCCCACCCCGGGGCTTGCGGCGGGCGGGGCTCCCCGCTCCCCCTCCCCGAGCCTGGGTCGGCCCCGAGCCCCCTCCCCAGCGGCGGCGTGAGAAGCGGGGCCCCCCGAGCCGCCCACCCGGCTGCACACAAAGCCCCCCACGGGGCCGCGGAGGTCCCGCTCCCGGGGCTCAGAGAGCAGCGCCCCGCGCTCCCGCGCCCCTGGGGAGGCGACGAGCCGGGGGGAGACCCGGCGCACCGGAGCACCCCCCAAGCAGGGCCCTCGGCCCGGCCGACGCTCTCACCTCAAAAGAACGGGCGCCGCCGCCTGCGGAGGAGGACGGCGGGTGGGGAATACTCGCACCGGGTCGGGCCGCGCAGGGACCCGGTCCGGAAGGACGCGCGGCTGGGAGCGCTCACCCCGGCCCCGCGCGGCCGCGCCGCCTCCTCAGAAGGGAGGCCTCTACCGTCGGGCTCCGGACCTGCAGCTGACGGGGGCGCGGGCGCGCGGGCGCGCGCTCCCGATGGCCCCGCCCCGTCCCGCCGCTCCGTCCCGTCCCGCCGGCCCCGCCCCATCCCGTCCCGCCCCCCGTCCCGTCCGGTCCTGCCGGCCCCGCCCCGCCCCCGTCCCGCCCCCCGTCCCGCCGGCTCCGTCCCGTCCCGCCGGCCCCGCCCCATCCCGTCCCGCCCCCCGTCCCGCCGGCTCCGTCCCGTCCCGCCGGCCCCGCCCCATCCCGTCCCGCCCCCCGTCCCGTCCGGTCCTGCCGGCCCCGCCCCGCCCCCGTCCCGCCCCCGTCCGGCCCCCCGTCCCATCCCGCCGGCCCCGCCCCGCCGGCCTCCTCTTGGCGGCCGGCTCCCTCCCCTCCTCCCCTCCTCCCCGCCCGCGGGTGCCGTCCGCCCTCCAGAAGACGTACGCGAAGCGACAAGGAAAGCCTTCCACCAAAATGAGCTGTGATATCCTTTTGATGGGTATAATTTATTCCAAATCGTCCCTGGACTGAAACGATCAATTAGCAGCCCGAAACGCACTGCGAAGTAAATTGTCACACCCTCTATTACAGGCTGGTTATCATATATTTATAAGGTGTGTTTTCTGCAATCAGAACCAACAAGGTGTTGAGCGATCAGTCATAAACGTATTTCTTCAAAAAGAGCGGGACAGAAGCTCTAGCATTGTGTGGCGGAAGAAGAAAATCTTATGACAGTTATTACCTCGCCCACCCTCTGCCCACGGTGATATTTTCATTTCCTCTTGGCATCTGGGAAGTGCAGTGAGGCGAGAGCTCTGCACCAACTCTCCAGGCCACTCGCGTGACCCCGGGACCAGGGTCGCTGTGAACCTCAGACTCACAGCCCCAAGAGGACTGGTTTCCTTATTGTGTAAATAGAGATCCGGCCTAAGGATCTTTCTCACTCTTTCTCGGTCTCTGTTTTTACTCCCATCCAGGAAAATATCCTACTCTTCCCTTCTAAGCTTCCAGCAGGATGCTTCATTCTATACTTAAGTGCCTTATCTTCTTGTGTCTGATATTTAGGTGTTACGTACGGTAGAGATCATGCCATAGTGACGCACAGTTTACCCACAGAGAGAACTCTGCATTCCGAACTGCAATCTCTGCCAGAACGCACAAACTCTTGAGAAAGTCATAAATTCTCATTCAATCTGGTAGACTGTCTTGACCAAGCTGTGGAGACATTGTTATTTTGTTTATAGTCGTCCTTAATGAGTGTACATGGATGGATATACATCCGGAACTTCTGAGTTTCCTGTAACAAGCTATCATCATATTCTCATCCACCAACCAACCACCTACTAATCATTTTTTTAGAAGGACTCTGGTTTGTATTGTTTTTCCTTTTGCTTGAAACACCTAATCTAAAGCAACCTACTCATTATTGTGAGAAAAGTTTAGCAGCCAGAAGTATGCCTCTGTGGGCAATAAAGTGACATTTGTGAAGAGTGAGTCACAAGGTGGGGTAAAATGCAGAGTTAAGAACACATTCCTCTTAGGTGAACTGCCCCCATGATTTCTGAATGGTCGGGCTTGCCTGCAATGCCAACCTCTGAAGAATGGACAGAAAGGAAATCTGGTTGGGCATTTGAGTTGTAAAGGAACTCCAGCATAAGTGGAGCACCATGTTCCTCTCTTACAAAGCAAAGGAACCAGGGACCTTGGCCTCATTTGAATTAGTAAAGAGCATAGTTAGACCCAGCACCTTCACCTTGTAACTTCCGAGGTCATTGACTTAATTTGCAATTAATGGCTAATATTTATTGAGCACTAACTCTATGCCAGGCACTGTGCTTTAAATTATATGTATTCTCTTATTTAATCCTATCAACAAATTTATGAGGGAAGTTTCCTTGTTTTGCCAGCAAGGAAACTGAGATTTGGCAAAATTAAGTAAATTTGGGCATACTCCTAGTAAATGATGATCTCAAATCCAGGTCAGTCTCCAGTGCCCATGCTCTTTACCCCAATAATGTAATACCTCAAAAATTTAAGATTTTGACTTAAGATTTTACATAAAAAGATTTTAGAGGAGCTGATGACACAATGAAAGTGGTTCTGGGAGAAGAATGAAAGAACAGTCACTTGCAAAGGAAAGATACAATAGATACACATACCCTGACTGGGTAGGTTACCTCTTTTCTGTTCTCTGCTTCCTACATCCCATGATTTCTTTTTCAGAGTTGTCACCTGCCATCTGGTGTCTAGCCAAAGAGACCTTATCCAAGGTCAGTGATGACTGCTAGGCTTGGGGTGGAAGTAAGGGGTGGGGTGGATGACCAGACCCCAGAGAAATCATAGCACCCTGGGGAGGAGACTTAAGTGGGAGCCAGAGTTGGCCAGAGGCCCTTGTCCCAGACCCCCAGTTCTGAGAATGAAATGTTGCTTCCTAATGGACTTTAAATTATCAACATCGCTAAACTCTCCCTTAATAGACTTGTAAAGATCTGCTTGTTACCTTTTTCCCCCTTCATGTAGAATTTGTAATCAAGAGCCCAATTTTGTCATTTGGAAATACTAATTATCTAATCACGCCATGCTGCATAACGTACTTGTCTGCCCAATTAGCTAGGACAATTATTAAAATTCAGAGGCCTAATTATGTCTCAATTTAATGCTGGCAAACTTGCATACAGAGCAGTAATTAAAATCCTCTCTTTCCCTCTGCCTTTAGGGCAGGGGATGATTAGGCCCTGTCAAGGGGTGTACTGAACCAAACCAGTGAAGCGTATTGTGCAACATGACCCTGCATTGTTAAGTGTGTCAACATATTAACCTGAATTCCCTTCAGCCCCCACATAATCACATTTGGTGGAGGAATAAAGGAGCTAAAACATGAAGCATTTTATTAAAAAAACATAAATTCTTTTTAATTAATGCTATGAGAGTTCTGATGAATTTCATGCTTCCAAGTGCTGGAAGACATAAAACTGGTTCATCTAATTACTAGCAAATTTGCTCTTGTTAAAACTACTTTTTTTAAACTCATTTAAAGAAAATGAATTTTTTTTGGTGGTGTAATAAAAAAAAAAAAGAAGAAGAAAAGCCTAGCTAGTTGGCTTCCAGTAATACAGTTGATTACCAGTTTTGTTTGATGATAGAACACAAGTGAATGTTGACTTCCAAAAGAATCCATCCCAAGACTGGAGGCATTAAAAAAAGGGCTAGAATTTAATATTTGAAAGATGTTAATAAAAGTGGAACATTAAAAATCATAATATTGAAACAAATTCAAAATATTTATCTTTTGAGCTTAAAAGTTTGATGTCTGAAATAAAACTAGCATGAGGAGACCAGAGCACTGCACAAACTCCCGTTGCTTTAGAAACTCCTCAGCATGCGAGAACCCAGACCGTGTGTGTCTACTCTGCTGGCATCTCAGTCCTCTTCTCTATGAACTAAAGAGAGCCACCAAACCCAGTAAGACTTCAGAGCTCTTCTCTAAATTTTGGTTTTCACTCATGATGGAATGTGTGATACATTACTCACAGTATTCAACTAAAAAGGAAAAGCATTCTGTCTAGACCAAACATGAATTATTCTGGAGAAAGAAGGACTTCTTTCCACTTGCTTTTAAACTTGTCCTGCATGGATGGTTTCTTTTCTTTTTTTTTTTTTTTTCATGGATAGTTTCTAGAGAGCAAGAGACACAGGAATACACAGTCACTTCATTGGACAGAGATTACTCTCAATTGATCTCATTTTGAATCTCATGACAACCTTGTGATACAGTAGGTAAGAAAAGCCAGTCTCCATTTTTTTTTAATGTGAGGCAATTAAGATACTTTTTGAAGCTGACCATTCTATACCCCACTTCCTAATTATAGGTAGGGCAAGTAGAACTCAGTTCCCCTGGCTGTTCATTGCATCAAGTGGAGTGGCTGTGAGTGAGACACCAATGAGGGATGCTTGGGTTAATAAAATATCTCAAGTTGAGATCAAAGTATAAATGATATAATTATGAAACAAGGGAACCTATATATCAACACCGGAGGACCTTTTGTCATCCAGTCGATACTTGCTCGCAACAGATTTAGTCATATCTGTTTATATCTGGTGTCTTTGGCCCACTTATGTCCTCTTTTAAGTTTTTATATTCTCTAAGATATGTATGATTCCATCTGAGTTGGTGGTAGTAAAGGCAGAGTTCCTTCCTCCCACTCTTACCCTGGGGTACATTGTAGGATAGAAGATGTGTTTAGGGACAACTCTGGCTGGTATAGGCCCTCTTACTAACAAAGAGAGTGACCACAGATAGTCTCTACAGGAGATGGTTGGATGGAGCTAGGACAAGCCCTTTGGCACTTGTGCCATAAAACCAAGGGGTAGCCCCTCCCCCAGCCTCCCACAGAGTGTGCCCCATGTCTTGAAAATGGCCTTGCTCGAAGTCTCTCTGGATGGCAAACTGAAGTGCAAATCTGTGTTCTGACTTGTTCCTGTGGCTGTCAGCATGTTTTCCTCTTGTCAGCAGCAATTGACTGGTCAGGCTCACCCCTGTACAGCAATTGTAACAGCTCATTGACAGGCTAGTGACCCAGCTGGACCTGATAATGGAAAACTATTGATTTTTGTAGGCTCCACGAATCTAAAATGAACGACCAATGTAATGTCATCAATTGTCTCGGACTCTGATAACCCAAGGGAGAAAGTTTCAGGGATCGCTTGTATTTCCTGACAATAGTGTTTCAAAATCTCACTAGGTATATGTAAGAAGAAGCCCATTTCCTGGGTGTTTTTCTTAAATGACCCCAATTTGACAGGGCTTCCGATACCTAGCCTTGGATGTTAAATAAAATGGAAATTAGCATTGCCAAATTAGCCAACTAGAACCTAATATGCCATTTAGACAAAATATTTGAGGAGAAGCACTTTGAAAAAGAAATGTTTAAAATATTTATTATAAAACAAACTCACAGAAAAGAAAAAAAAAGTTGGGATTAACCCAAAATATATTGGCTCTCAAAAATCTTTTTTTTTTTAAGATTTAATTCATTTATC